TATTTTATGTTATGTATTTTATGTTATTTACTATGAGTCTATTGATAGTACTAATATATTGTCTCTTGTTGCTCTCTTGAGCCGAGGGTCTCCTGGAAACAACCTCTCTTCCTCTCGGGGTAGGAGTAAGGTCTGCGTACATATTACCCTCCCCAGACTCCACTTGTAGGATTATACTGGAATGTTGTTGTTGTATTTCATAGTGGACACTGATTAATAGTAAAGGTTTAACATTAGTTATGCCCTCAGTGATGAGCACAAAACAAGACTTGATGATTTCTTCTTTAAACACTAAAATATAATAAAGGTTATTATATTCATGGAAGGGGAGTGACCATTTGGGCCAATAAACAAACGAAATTAGATTTTCTTGTCAATGTCAAGAATATGTCCTTTAGAAAAAAGTTGTATTAGATTCGAGTATAACAACTTTAATGGAGACAAAGGAAAAGACCATAATTAAATTTTAATAATTTACATATTAGTGACTCTTGAGAGGCACCAAAAGATGCTCTATCTATATGCCAAGTAAAATTAGATTTGATAGCTATAAAGAATTATGTTTTGGCTCCACATAAAGTAATTTTTACTAATAAAGTCTGGACCATTTGGAGTATGTTAATTTAGTTCTAATTGGCGTATGCAAGCATTTTTGTAAGCAGTGTCAAATTTTAAAAAAGTGAACAAATAAACATTACAAGAAAATAGGACTACGATCGTCATAAGTCACATAAATGTCACAAAATCATTTACCGACATTTATTTGATATTTATATTAAATGTCGTAAATTTTGATATCGGGAATTTTCCGACATTTAAATTAATGTTGGCAAATAAATAGTAACACTTATCAACGACTTTTATCAAAATGTCACCTATTTGAATATAAGCTCAATAAAGTTGTGACATATAAAGAAATGTCACCAAATATTATTCGTCATTTCGTCATATATAGAAATGTCGGTAAATTATCTTTGGTCAACAGCTTTTTTTCTTTATATACATAGAGAACATTAGCTTTTCATACATTTCAGTTATTCATATAATTTTGAGAATTATCAGTAGTATCTGTCATGTTTAGAGTTCTAAATCAATCTAAGAACAATTTAAGAATAATCAGTAGTATCTGCTAATTAAGCACCGACTCTGAATTTGATAAATTGATCCTAATGGTAGAAAGGTATATGAAAAGAGTCCAATAGAAGATGGCAAAAATTCCTAGAAGATTGCTGCGATTTCATGAGAACCTTACCAATTTTATGAATGCGAGACGACGACATCAGTTATTTGGGTCTGAGAAAAGGGGAAGTTTTGTAGCGTTTTCGAGATAAAATAGTAGACGCCCTTATACTTAATATATTTTAAGTTTAAATGTAAGCAAATTTCCTTCATTAGTTATAAATGTCAGTAAATACCGACTAATATAGCTACATTTCAATTAAAAGTCACAATAATTGTGTCATTTCTTACCAAATGTCATTGATTTTACGACATTTGTAAATAAGTGTCATAAAATTAGTCCTTTTCCGACATTTATTTCACATGTCGTTGATTAAATGTCGTTGTAGCCCTCTTTTCCTGTAGTGAAATAAATCGCTATAATGATAAATGGTATTAATTTTTATATTTATACACATATTTTCGACGAAGCAGTTTTACGTGACATCGCATGGGACAAAGTACCTACGCCCTTCTTAAGACCAACATTCTCTCTCTCATTCACAGACAAGTGTGGGGGTGAAGGGTGTTACATGGGGTACAACAAATGATTTTGTGTTGGGCTCGTAAACAAAGTCTAGTTTAGAAAGTTGATAAGAAGAAAAAGTTACATATAGATATAGTTATTAATATTAATAGCTGAAGTGGAGTATTAGTGTAACTAGTAAAGTTATTGTTATGTGACTAGGAAGTCACGGGTTCGAGCCGTGAAAATAATTTCTTATAGAAATATAGGGTAAGGTTGCGTACACTAGACTCTTGTGGTCTGACCCTTCTCCAGATCCCGCATATAGCTAGAGCTTAGTGCATCGAACTGCCCTTTTAATACTAGCTATTATCAAACGTTTATTCTATTTTCACAAGCAGCCGCGTCGATGGTTCGACATATCAGCCAAAAACATACGGGCCTTGTTCTTTTACTTAATTAAAATAGTAGAGAGAGAACAAAGGGGCAGTCAACATTTAACAATTACTATTAAAGATCTGCATATTAATTTATAATAGTTACAGTTTGCATGCTCAAACACGCCGTGGCGAAGCCAGAAATGTTTTCAAGGGTATTCAAACTTGAAAGAAGTAGAAAAAAATTCCGACAAAAAGTGTTCAATATAAGTTTTATATATTTAAAATCAATATTTTACTTATATACATTGTAATTTTTCGTAGTTTTTCGGCGAAGGATGGTCAGTTGACCATCCTTTGCTCAAGGTGGCTTCGCCCATGCAACCACGTCATCTAAAACCCATAAAATTTAAATTATGATTCTGCATTTGATTACTCCAACTAAGCATCTGAAATTATAAGCTGGAATTAGCAATGCATGTAACCAGGAGATCACGAGTTCAAACAGTGGAAACAATCTCTTACAAAAATACGGGATAAAGGTTACATACAATAGATCCTTATGGTTCGATTTTTTCCCGAACCCCGCACATAACAGGGAATTAATGTACCGGAATAAAATGTGCGGCGTGCATGTTGTGACTCTGATAAAGGAACATAAAGGAAATAGGCAGGGAAGTCCCACAACTACTCTTCAAATTAATTAAAAGCAAACATATTCTCTTATGACTTTGACCATTACTAAAAAGCAAGTTGAACAATGGAAACTAATACGAAACCTTCCATAGTGCTAATTAAAGTTGCTATAAATATCTCCTAGAGTCACGTAAAGGTGTTGCATGTCTATTTGTCACGACTTGAAAAAGGCTTAAAGGCGGGGATGGAATTAGGAATTTTTTTAAAAGTGTTCAAATTTAGAAGAAGCGAAAAAAAATTCCGATAGAGTGTTCAATATGTGTTATATACTTCTAAAACGCAATATTTTATTAATATACACAATGTAAGTTTTCGATGATTAACCACCCTTATGACCATATGACTTCGCCACTGGTTAAAGGAACCATCAAGAGATGTAGCGGGATGAATGTTATCCCTCCATTAGAGGCGAACTTAGGATTTGGCGGTCGCAGGACACCATGACATTCAATGTAAATTTATTACTGGTTATAAAGATTGGTACAGGAGCCTACGCTAATTATATCTGACTATTTCTTGAAGACATTTGCAAGTATATAAAAATTTTGCCGAAGTTTCTGGGTGCATGTGACCCCTATTCTTATAGTATGCGTCTGCCTCTATCCTTAATCAGAACTCTCGAGTTTTAGCACGAAAAATAAAAATTCTTTGGTAGGGAGCGTTTCACCGGATTAGTCGAGTCAATAGTTATCGCATATCTCATGTTTATAAAATAAATAAAAAAAGAATTTGTAATTTCACTATCTACTTTGCATATTCTTATCTGTCACCAACTTTCAGTGGCAAATTGTTTATACTTGAACTTTAAAAAGTAAATGAAGCTGGTGACATACGTTATTTAAAAAAAAGTGAAAGTGACGGATTTTAAAGAATATATTCAGAGAAAAATATCTACCTTAGAACTTTGATGATTAACTTATTATGGAAGTGGAGATGATTTATTAAAAAATGTATTAAAAAATAAGTGCATATTATGTAAGAAGATATCAGATTCAAGTTAAAGTAATCAAGAGATAATTAAAAACATCATGTGCTCTATTTGTTATTAAGAAATAGCCCAATCTTTTTATTTAAAAACGTACATCTTTTGTAAAGACAAACATTTTTTTTGGTTAGATATGTAAAGACAACATGATTTGGACATAAGAAATGACAAGTTGCTCCAATATGGATTTACACCAATAATTTTATTAATGATGCTATGTAATTCACTAAGATCAATCTTTTACATCCATGATCTTATCTGTTTTTTTATCCGTGTTTGATATCTACTTTAGGGCTCGACTATTTAGATTCGTCGCGAAAGGTTTTATTTTGGGATAAAACATTCCTTATCAAAGGTGACTTTATATCTCAGAGATATTTACTATTCCGCCACAACTTTTGAGTGATGACCTTGCTCTTATCATGCCTTGTGCAATATTTTTCTACTTAAAAGCTACCGTTCTAATAACTCCAACAAGTGGAAATTAAAAATTTGCACTATTTATTTTGTCACTTTTTTGCCTTTTTAAGGAAATTAATTTATTTGCGAGTGGAATTAGACGTCGATAATCTCACTTATTGGGGGTCTGGAGAGGGTAGTATGTATGCAGACTTTACCCCGACCTTGGGGTAAAAAGGCTATTTCCAAATAGACCGTCGACATCCTTCCCTCCAAGAACTTCCCACCTTGCTTTTGGGGAGATTCGAATTCACAACCTTTTAGTTGGAAGTGGAGATTGCTTACCATCAGAGCAACCCCTCTTGTCTTCCAAAAAGATCAATATATTTTAAAATTAAAATTCCTTGATTCTATTATTTACATTTTGCCATTAATAACCGTCTTATAGAAATAACTGACATATTTAAGAGTATAAGTTTATTGAAGCATATTATACGCAAGCTTATGTTTGGAAAACATTTATTTAAATAACTCTGTGTCCAGTTAGACATTGTAATAAAAATATAAAATAACAAGCATGCAGTATTTTTCTTCTTTAAAAAGATTGATTTTTTAAATAAAAATCAGTCTGTGTATTTTTGTTGAAACAAGTCAAGTTTTTTTTTAAAAGATTATTTTTTATTTATTTATTTAGGACTTTAAAAGTTTTCACATAAATATCTTTTTAATTTTATTTATAGTTTTTGGTAAAAGCAAGTTGAAGAAACGCGGTTAAAACTGAAAAATTATTATCTGGAAAATAAAGTAAAACAGCTTATATCCAGTGATGATACTCTTTTCTCCTATAAAACCAACACAAATACCCCCTCCTCTGCCACCCCAGTTTTTCTATTTCTCCTCCATCCACGCGCCGCCGTAGGCATGGACGCAAAATGCACCCAACCACCCTCCTCCGCCCTGAAACTCCGACGAACCACCAGCGCCGATGGTAGTGGAACCGGAACCATCATACTCGGCAAGTATCAACTTGGCCGTCTTTTAGGCCGTGGTAGCTTCGCTAAAGTCTACCACGGCCGTTGTTTAAACAATAATAGTAACATCGCCATTAAAGTTATTGACAAAACCTCCATTTCGGATCCTTCAATGGAGCCTCGGATCATCCGCGAAGTCTCCGTTATGACACGTGTCAATGATCATCCCAACATCATCCAACTCGACGAAGTTTTGGCTACAAAAACCAAAATCTACTTAATCATGGAGATCGCCACAGGCGGCGATCTCTATGCTAAGCTGAACCGTCGCGGTCGGTTCTCTGACTCGACCGCGCGGTTTTATTTTCATCAGTTGGTCTCAGCCCTCCACTTTTGTCATCAAAATGGCGTGACTCACCGCGACATCAAGCTTCAAAACCTTCTCCTCGACCAAAACAACAACCTCAAAATCTCCGATTTCGGGCTCTCCGCCTTGCCCGAACAATTAAACAATGGCCTCCTTCATACGGCTTGTGGAACTCCAGCTTATACGGCACCAGAGGTAGCTTATAGAAAAGGATACGATGGCGCAAAGGCGGATTCGTGGTCTTGTGGGGTTATTTTATTTGCATTTCTCTCTGGATTCCTACCATTTGATGATAGCAATATATCAAACATGTACCGTGCAATACACCGTCGCGTATTTAAGTTTCCTGATTGGGTTTCAAAACCAGCTCGGAATATAATAAAGCGACTACTTGATCCTAACCCAAGTACCAGGTTAAGTATTGAGGAATTAATGAATCTTTCGTGGTTCAAGAAATCCGGGCTGAAACAAGGAGAATCCAATCGTCAGCAGAAATTCGATGAATGTATGTATGAAAAAGAGTGTAAAAACTTGGGCAGGGTTAATGCGTTTGATATAATATCAATGTCATCTGGGTTGGATTTATCGGGTTTATTTGAAGTTGGAATGAGTAATAAAAAGATGAGGTTTACGACGAGAGCAAAAATTGGGGAAGTTGAAGAGAAATTGATGAAAATTGGAAAAGAAAGAGGGTATAAAGTGGAAAGAGGGAAAGGTGGGGGAATTGAATTGGTTAAAGGGAGAGTTGTTTTAATGGTGGAAATTTGGGAGGTGGCAATGGAGTTGTTGCTGGTTGAGATTAAGGTTGTTAATGGTGGATTGGAATTTGAGGATTTTCAATGGGAGGAATTAAAAGTTCGGTTGCAGGATATAGTAGTTTCATGGTACACTAATGGATCCGTTGCGGCGGATGCCGGAGGCGGAGTTGTACATTGATAGCCATCTCTAGTACTTTTAAATGTTTAGGCACATTGCTAGTAATAGCAACTTTGTTCTGCTTGAGAGTTAAAAATCTTTTATTTAGTCTTTGAATATGATTTTGTAAATGAAAAATTCTCTTCTTGAGGTTGCACAATGTTTTTCTCTAGTTGTTCATATTCGTATATATATTTGATAGGAATTTTCATAAAACACTACAGTTTAGATCCTAATTACTACTTGTAATAATAGTTTGCCCAACTATTATTCGCACCTATTGTTCAATATTACCAACTTGTGCCACTTGCAACAATTATCTTACAACAATTTCACGTATAATACTACAAGGTGTAACATCGTCGTAATATAACATTGCGAAGCGTAACATCATCGTAATGTTATATTGCGAAGCGTAACATCATCGTAATGTTATATTGCAAAGCATAACATCATCGTAATATTACTGCAAGACGTAACATCATCGTAATGTTATATTGCGAAGCGTAACATCATCGTAATGTTATATTGCAAAGCATAACATCATCGTAATATTACTGCAAGACGTAACATCATCGTAATATAATATGCGGAACATAATATCGGTTACTAAAGCAAGTTTAAATACGAAAATGCAAAAAAAAATAGAATGCTTTCATTGAGAGTCAAACTCAAGGCCTCTGCTTATTTAAGCAGGTGGTCTAACCAATTGAGATGCAAGAGCTTGTTGCTTTATTGTTTCAGTTCAAAACATTTGATTTCTTGTTTCAGTACTTTCAGGTAGATTTGCCATAAAATTCAAATATATTCTCGAATGGTAATTTTCTAAGAGTATAACTAAGAATGGTAAATACAATGTATATATTTGATGTGTCGGACGTAAATTTTCCTATATTAAGATATACTTACTAGTTGAACCTATGATATCACCCTCAATGATGAGAAATAATTGTCATTTCTACTTGTCCAAATTCAAGAACAAACTTATTAAAAAGTAAATTTTGAGTAAGCCAATAGAAGAATCATGAGCAATTCGTAACACTTCCGTAGAAAGTTCAATTTAATTTCTTCAAAATATAATGAACTTTCAAAATGACAGTAGCAATATGTTCTTAGTGAAAAGCTAAAATATCCAAAGATGAATGTGTACTTACCAATTGATGAGGAAAAAAATAAAGCAAAATATATTGTGTTATCGAGATTGGCGAAAAACAACAACAATAATATAACCAGTATAATTTTACAAGTGAAATCTGGGGAAAATAATGTATACGCAGACTTTATCCCTACCTTACAAATGTAAAGAGGTTGTTATCAATAGACCTCAGAAGCTCAAGGAAGACCACCGATTCCATTAAATATTTATAAATATTTAGAAAATTTCCTAATACGTATACCGAGTTTGGGCAAAAATCATTGAATTAGGGAACCACATTGTATATCTACGTGTTAATATAAAAAGCAACGAATATTTTAACAACATCGGCCTTCTTAGCTCAGTGGTAGAGCGCGTGGCTTTTAACCACATTGAATATTTACGTGTTAATATAAAAGGCAAAGAATGTGTTACCAACATCGGTCTTCTTAGCTCAGTGGTAAAGCGCGTTGCTTTTAACATGTTTTGGAACATGTTAAAACAAAATAGTGTTTTTACCCTTTTCGAGTTGTATAGAAAAGTTAATTTGGCATGGAAGACATTATCGTATTGAAGTTTAGAATTGGCCAAAAAATATATAAAATATGTATATATTTTACATATAATATATACCAATTATTATTTTTAGAGCGGCTAAAAATAAACATTTTTCTTTTCTTTTTATGTGATTATTACCCTATCCCGTCTCCACAATTAAAAGCATTTAGGCGCCCATAACTTTAAAATGTCAGGCACTGATTGCTAAAACAAACTTTTTGTTCGTCCGCAGTGATTGATTTAAGTTACACTATTTGAGTTGCAAAGTATATGACACAAAGATTATTCATTTTTATATATCTTAGAATTAGCTAAAGGAAACAAACTGATTTAATAAACCAAAAAATCCTCTGCAAAGATTTTAAAAAATTCTTGTCGAAGGAGTTGTATAGAAATCTCTACTCCTTTAACTATTTTTGCTTCCGTTGTCATTGGTTAAAGGAGCAAGTTTTTGATTTTCTGAAAACATCTCATCCAATTTCCAATTTTTTTAAAAAAAAAAAGATAGCCCGGTGCATTAAGCTTCCGCTATGCGCAGGGTCCGGGGAAGGGCCGGACCACAAGGGTCCGGTTTAATATTTGTTTTCTTAATAACCAAGAAATTCACGAGGACCAGAAGGCACGGTTCAAAACTTGATGAATAATGGGCTCGCCCCTTCTGCTCTTCTCACCACTTAAATACCCTGCTCCTCTGCTCTTCTGCTCTACTGGCAATATCAGCAGGAATGAATGTGGAAAGTCTTGGCTAAGACATGAATAGAATCAATCTATTTGCAGTACTTCTTAAACCACACTCCAATATTTAAAAAGCTTTCGAAGTCAGACTGTGGTCTGCAAAAGAGATGTAAACATAAGTTCAAAATATGAAAGTGAAAGAGTGAAATATGAAACTCAAGTACCAGATACTGCAATTTGATGGACATAAGACCACTTTACCTATCAATTGCATGCGTGTCCTCAGGGAACACAATGACTTTAACCTCCACTCCTTTCTCCTTCAGGGCTCGTGCATACTGTACGTAATAAGAGCGAAAAAAGCATACACTTTCTTAAGTTATACATTTTACAGAAATAAAACCAAAACTTAAAAAGCCAATAGTCATTCTGCTGCAACAAACATTACAGCTGTTAAGTAGTTAGTCATGTTTAGTGTTCCACATCGAGAAGTAGATGCCTATTATTATGTAATTACTGTATATAAATAGGGTTGGACAACACTTTAATCAATATAATTTTTTTCTCCCGTGCATTCTCACATGGTATCAGAGCTTCAGTGAGAAAATTATCGCTGTGCATCATCATTCCAGCGACTTCCGGGAAGAAAGACCTTGTTGCCATGCAATTTTCAAGCGACTTAAGAGGCTGTCTGTAACAAAATCACTTTCCGTTGGTGTTGTGCAAAAACCAATACCACCATGGATCCCCAAGGCTTCGGAGACCAAACCCCACCAAAGATATCCGACAACCGACCTCTCACGCGCCCTCACGCGCGGATCGGAAGTCTGATTTTCCGGCGAGTTCTTCCCCACGCGCCGGCGCGTGTGGCCTTTTCCAGGTCAGATTTCAAATTTTTTCTTTCAGACAGCTTGTTGCGTGGCCATTCCGAGCCTACCCGTGTCATTTTTCTTTATTCCGATCACTTTGAGATTTTTCCGGCAACTACACGGGCTTTCCAACAGCTACAGTGATTTTTCCGACAAGCTTCTTTTGGACAGATTATTCAGGAGATTATTCGGAGTCTTGTTATTTAAGTTTCATCAAATTCCGACAACCTTTTTATTTTTTCCGGCGTGAAGAAAATTTTTGCTTTTTCCGGCACAATATTATAATGACATTCATATCAGAAGCCTTTAACTCACAATCCGTTGGATCTAATGCATTGAATCCAATCCAGATGGTTTCTTTACCGGATTATATTGAGTTCCTTCAGTACAAAGCATGTAAACAGACATCTTCAGGGATAGCTTCCGTTGTTCAAACATATAGTAGCATGACTTGTGTCTCTCAATCTTCAACCTCTAAGTCTTGGGTCATTGATTCAGGTGTATCTGATCATATTTCTGGTAACAAATCTCTTTTTACTAGTATTTCATATTCTCAATCTCTTCCAACAGTCACAATGGCCAATGGGTCTCAAACCATGGCAACTGCAATAGGTCAAGCAAGCTCACTTCCTTCCTTACCTTTAGATTCAGTCCTTTATGTTCCCAATAGTCCTTTTAATCTCATAGTCGTTAGTCGCTTAGCCAAATCACTTAAATGCATTGTTTTATTTCTTGATGACCTTGTTTTTATACAGGAACACAATATGGGGCGGATCATTGATACCAGACGTGAATCAGATGGACTTTATTACTTTATCCTTGCAAAATCACATGGACTCGCATCCTGTTTTCCTTCAATAACTTATCTTGTTACCGATTCACCAGATTTATTAACGGTTAGGACATCCCAGTTTGTCAAAACTTCATAAAATGGTACCTAGTTTACCTCACTTGTCCACTCGAGAGTGAGTCATGTCAGCTCGGTAAGCATACCCGCTCCCATTTCCCTTAGCGTCTTGATAATAGAGCAGAGTCGCCTTTTACTTTAGTCCATTTAGATGTTTGGGGTCCTAACCGGGTCAGTTCTACCTTGGGATTCCGCTACTTTGTGAGTTTCATTGATGATTATTCCAAGTGCACTTGGATATTTTTGATGAAAAATCGATCTGAGTTATTTTCTATTTTCCAGACCTTCCACGCTGAAATTCAAAATCAATTTGGGGTTTCTATCCGCACATTTCGTAGTGATAATGCCCTAGAGTATTTGTCTTCCCCATTTCAGCAGTTTATGAACTCTCATGGGATTATTCGTCAAACACCTTGTCCGTACACATCTCAACAAAATGGGTTAGCTGAAAGAGAATAGACATCTTATTGAAACTGCTCGTACCCTACTCATATAATCTCATGCTCTGTTGCGTTTTGGGGGGGGATGCAGTTCTTACATCTTGCTATCTTATTAATCGTATGTCATCTTCAGCTATCCAGAATCAAGTTCCATTCTCTGTCTTGTTTCCCCACATACCTTTGTTCTCTCTTCCACCCCGTGTCTTTGGAAGCACATGTTTTGTTCATAACCATACTCTAGGAAAAGATAAGTTAGCTCATCGTGCTCTTAAGTGTGTATTTCTGAGTTACTCGAGAAAGCAAAAGGGGTGTCGATGCTATTCTCTTGACCTCCAGCGGTACCTTATGTCTGCTGATGTTACCTTCTTTGAAACTCAATCATACTTCACAGGTCCAGGTAATCACTTAGATATTTCTGAGGTGCTACCAGTTTCATCTTTTGGAGATTCAGTCACTATCTCCCATTCATCTTCCTCTACAACTCCAGCTCCACCACTTACTGCTCCAGTTGCAGCTCCTAGTCTAGTTCAACCTTCTGCAGCTCCACCACTCTGACTTATCATCGTCGTCCACGTCCAGCATCAGGCC